GCCTCCCAAGTAGCTGGGACCACAGGTGCCTGCCACAATGCCTGGTTATTTTTTTTGGTTGCAGCCATCGTTGTTGGCGGGCCTGGGGTGGATTAGAACCCGCCACCTTAGGTGTATATGGCTGGTGCCTTAGCCACTTGAGCCACAGGCACTGCGTCTATCCAGGTATTCTGTGTCCCTCTTCCTATCTCCAGGTACTGGATCCTGCTGTTCCTTTGGGACAAGGTTGCGGAGCCTACTAAAGGAGGGCCACCCACATCTGTGCCCACGCTCTTGCATGATCCTACTAGGTAGCATCCTAACCTCATGGTCACCAAGTTTCCTCTCCAGAGGGCATGTAGCTATGCTGTCCTCCAGAACTCGTCCGTGGAACACCTGGACTGCTAACAGCCCCTCCTATCTGGGTGAGGCACACACTTGGCACATGTTTCACTGAACCAGGGTTTGGGTAGGAAAGAATACCACCACAAAGGACTCTCTGGGATAGGAGCCTGCTTTCTGCCCCCCATTTGCAGGGTGGGAGTCCAGACCTCAGGCCAGGGAGAGAAGTGTAATGGTTGCCCAGCCCTGTCCCACACCAGGACAGGCTGAGTAAAGGCACTGGGCAGAATTTCTGGGGTTAGAAGGTCTTCCCTGGTGGTTCAGCCCTCAGGGTTAGTCACTGTGCCTTGGACTCTCCCTCATTTCCTTCTTTCAAGAGGAGGGTCTTTCTTGGCAGAATGGTGAGAAGGTTCCAGGACAAAGGAGGAACCACCAGAGGCAGGAACACCAGTGCCTTCCCAATCTGCTGGAGTATCCCATGTTGGGACTTTGCTGACAGAGGCTTCAGGGCCCACGTGAGTGCCCTTGAGGCCATGGGATAGGACCATTGTCTCCTTGCTCCAGGCAGCTCTGCAGTCTGTGCCCAGCGTGGAAAAGGGCTTCTTTCCAAGTGTAAGCCAGTCCTTGGTTTCCATCTCACTGTCATGTCAGCCCTCACTATTGGGTCCTGCACCAACTGTGCTGCTTCATGCCAACCACGGCAAACCAAACACCCTAACTCCAGTCAGCTCCCTGTCCCTCCCCAGGGTCAACCCACCAACAGGGCCCACAGGTGGTGCAGCCTCCATGAATTAACACTGGTCACAAGCCTGATCGGATCCATGTTTTCCATGAAAAATCCCTGCCCAGAACATGCTGTGCGTCCTGGAAGACAGTACACTGACACTTTACCCACATACCTCACAACCTTTCAGCAGAAACAGCAAGTAGATTAGAGGATAGGACAGATCACCCTAACAGGATTAAGCTCAGAACATCCCAGAGAATCTCTGAGGGCCCTCCCCAAGCTGGGCAGGAGTGCTTCCTGAGAGTTAAAGGGAACAAGAAAGAGGAAGGAAGGACAAAAGAAGACAGGAATGTGGGGTCATTTCCTTCAGTCAGTAAAGTTCAAGGTCTACAATGCAGAGCTGGTGGAAGGAAGACAGGGATGCACACTGCCCTTTCTGGGGGCTTGGGCAGGAGAGCCCACAGAGAGATTTCAGGAGGACAAATACAAACTGTTTCTAACAAATGTGAAGATATGTAGTCTCCTCCTCATTCCCAAATACTTTTTTCTTTTTTTGAAACAGAGTCTTACTCTGTGCCCTGGGTATAGTGGGTGGTGTCATAGCTCATAGCAACCTCAAACTCTTGGGCTCAAGTGATCCTCCTGCCTCAGCCTCCTAAGTAGCTGGGACTACAGGCACCTGCCACTAAGACTGGCTATTTTTTCTATTTTAGTAGAGACAGGGTCTCACACTCCTGAGCTTAAGCGATCCTCCCGCCTTGGTCTCCCAGAGTGCTAAGGATTACAGTTGTGAGCCACCACACTTGGCTCCCAAATACTCTTTTAAGTACAGCAGAGCTTCAGTGAACAAATCTGAGAGGCAGAGAACCTGGCCTCCAGCTTGGGGCTAGTTTCAGGCCAGACTTTTCTTTATTCCCAAAGACCTGAAAGACTGGTGTACACAGGGAGAAATTCAGCAGAGCCTGAGGAACTCTGGTGTTTGGCTTGCTGGAGGTCAAACATGTTTGGTGGCACACAGTTTGTTCCCATCCCTCAAAAGGCTCTCAACAATCAGTGTGACCCTTTTTCAGGCCATCATTTGCCAGCCCTGGTATGGCTCTGGCCCTCACCGGACATGACGTCACGCCAGGATGTGAACTCAGACTCTGATCTCCAACTCCAGACACAATCACTGATTTACTTCTGCAAACTGGAGCTCTCTGGTCTTGCAGGGCCGGGCCATGATAAACAAGCCTGCTGCCAGGCAACAGAAGACAGGGACACAATCAAGATGCCCCAGAAAGAACTAAAAATAAAATTGTTCTTGGGAAATCCAGCCCTAGTAACTGGGAAAGGATTTGAAATCAATTCCAACTTCGTGACATTTTACTTTCTGTTTTCATTCCTTTCCTTTTCCACCAGAGCAACGCCCTCAGATTCATGTGCCAGGTCCTGATTTTTCTCCCAAAAGCTGCCGACGCACCACCCCGGAATAGGCCACTAGAGAGGATACAAATGGGCTTTAGGAAACAACGTTTTCTAGATAAACTGGTGCTTGTTCTGAAAGAAGATACAGTTCCGCAACTGTCCAACAGTTAGCGAAAGACCGGGACCGAGAAGCTACATCCTCCTCATTCCAGTGAAACTTAATTTGAGCGGAGCTGACCCAGGACTGCGGTTTCCGAACTGCCTTTCCAAATTTGGGTTCTAGTGGGCACACTTGGGATCTGCGGTGCTTTCTAGGGGCTTGGAGCAGAGCAGTCGCCCTCTACAGATCTGCCTTTGGCTCCCAGCGCGGAGAATTAAACGTGGGTCGGCCCCGGCCCCGGCCCCGGCCCCACCGGGCCTCCCTCCCGTAACCTCCACACCCGTAAGCAGCAGGGCAGGCGCGCTGCCCAGGCCCGGCTCCCTCCGGCTTCCCACGCAGGACCCACTCCAGCGCGCTCGTACCCCGCCGCTCACCGGGCTCCAGCAGATGAGCGCGTCGGTGTCTGGGTCGCTCACCAGAGTCCATAGTTTGGTTAGGAAGGCCGGAACGTTGCTGGGCCCCGCCCCACCGGGGCCTACGGTCAGATCCATCTTGGGCGAGACAAGGAGAGCGGACACGAAGGGGAGCCGAGGGTCGAGCTAAAGCCTTCGCCACGCCTGCCACACGGGCCGCGCCGCTGGCCACTGCGTACACACAGCCCCAGGGCCTAGCATGGCCGCCGCCATCTTGCGACGGGCGCGCTCCCACCTGTGCCGCCGCCCGCCTGCGTCCCCTCCTGAGCGCGCCCGCATGCTCCGCCCCCAGCCCGGCTCCTCCATGCGCTTGCGCATGCTGGGCTCGCCCCTGAAGCCCACCAATCGAGGTCTGGGTGGGCGTGATCTGCGGGTGCAAGAGCCGCGGCACTGCCGGAAGCGGCTGTAGGGATCGGAGCCGGCGCGCGGAGGGCATGGCGGGCACGCGGGGCACGAAGCGGCGCCAGGGGCCGGAGCTGGAGTCGGAGCCGGAGCCGGAGCCGGAGCCGCTGCTGGAGGAGGTGACTGTGGGGTGGCGGGGGCGCTACGAGCCGAAGGCTCGACGTGCACGTGGCGGGAGATGGCGCAGGCCGAGCGGGGAGGTGGCGAGTCAGGAGCTAGTCTGCTGAGCGGGCGTCGCTGTGGGCCCAGGGCAGCGAGGACGGCCCGTGCTAGGGCGGGCGCGGGTCTAGGGCAGCCCTCACAGCATCCTCTCGAGCCACTTGGGTCGGGCTTCCTACCGTTCTTGGAGAGGGGCTGGAGTTGGCTCCCCCACTTCATGCTCAATCTCTTCCTACGCGGCCCACTCGCGTTGCTGTGCACGTGGTTGGAGGTGACAGCGGGAGAATCTGAACAGAGCTCGGCGCCTGCTGCAGGCGCGCCAGAACTCACTGCCTCTTTGCTGCTGCCCAGCTCAGCCTGAACTGGGTTGTGCCGGCGTCATCAAATCCGGGCAGTGGAAGGCGTGCACAGCCAATGGAGTGTCGAAGCTGTCCCTTTGCTTTGCGAAATGTGCTCCTGTTGAGTGATATAGCGCAGCTGGTAAATGCAGACTGGGCAAGACTCGAAAACTAGACTTCTACATTCGGCTGCTTCCTAAGAGTCTTTGAATTCCTATTCTTTTTAATTTTTTTCCCCCTAGAGACAGGGTCTTGCCCTCACACCTAGGCTGGCATGCAGTGGCACAATCATTGATCATTGTCACCTCACATTCCGGGCCTCAAGGAAGCCTCCCAAGTCACTGGAACTACAGGCATAAGCCACCACTCCCAGCTCTCTAGTTCCAGTTTTTAAAAGGCGGTGATTGGACCCATCTGGTGTGTGTTGTGTCATGGAGTTAGGCATGGAGTGGTCTCTAGTCATAAGGACCCTGCTCCAAAACAGGAGTAATTGAGTTTATACTCGTTGATAAGTGATGTACAATCATTTTTATTACTCCTCAGCCAGGCTTTTCAATTTCCAATTAACTCTTGGTCCCTCCCAATCTCTGGATAAGTAGGCTTCTTCTTTTTTTTTTTCTTTTTTTTTTTTGAGACAGAGCCTCAAGCTTTCCCCTGGGTAGAGTGCCATGGCATTACAGCTCACAGCAACCTCCAACTCCT